ACTGGAGGAAGACAGACATTTTAGAAGAAAAATAATTAGGTGTAGTTTAAGAATGCATCACTACTAGTTCACAAGGAAATCTTGACTACAGCACTAAGAATCACGAAATGGATTGTTAAATATAAGCTGAAAATAAAACAACCATTTAAAATCAACACATTTTCAAAACTGACTTCTTGACAACAGAGACAGGGTTCACAAATCTACATTTAACAAGCCCAGATTTATGTATTGGCTCTATGTATCGGCTCTATGTATCAAATTTTAGGGGACAGAAAAGACATCAATGAATTCTGATTCAAATCAACTCAACTCTTGAAGCAATGTAATTGAATGATTAGGTATCTTTCCCTTAAAATCAAATGCATCAAATATTGCAATACCATACACTTCTTCATTCTTTTTTAAAGAGATTACAAAAATTATCAATTTTTCAATAGCAATATTTTTCTGTCATGTAGCAGACACAAACAAATTTGTAGTCAGAAAGAAAAACTCAATAATGTTTCAATGGTTTTCAAAACCATATAGGCTGCTTCTGTGCCATGACAGGTACCGGTAATTAGACATATTTTACATGGTCTATGCCTGTGAATGCCACATAACATTAAGATATACACACACAGATGCACTGATACATTGGTTAGACTGTATGTACAAAATATATTAAACAGTATCACCAAAATATTATCACTGGGATTGAAGTCTAATATTTGATCCTTTAATGATAATTACACTCATTTATGTCTTTATCATAAAGTTGCATGTGCAGTTTGGGTGAATTTTTGAATGAAGAGATTTAAAGTTCACTGGGCTAAGGATTTCTAGTACTTAAAATCCAGGCCTGGTCATGAATTATAAATCCTAGTATTTGTTTTTCACATTCTTAGTCATTTTTTTTTTTCCAGTTACCAATCAACATGTCACAGTACATTACAAAATGAGTAATATAAAATTAAAACACATTGTTAATTTTGTTAATATTTTATAGCATTCTACGAAAGATACTCAAAATGAAATAAAATATGGTACTGTTAAAATATTCTAAAAGAATCATTTTATCAACAACAAATTACAATGATTTCTAAATTTTACAGTAAACAAGAATTTCTCACAAATCAGGACTGGAATACAAAACTGGCAAAACTTTGCAGCTGTTGTTCAGATATCATTTTTGTTAATATTACTATAATATTAATATTGAAAGAGAACTGTTTTAAATGGATCTTGTAAAGAGTTTGCCCAAATATTTTGTGCATGCAAATATGTATTATATTTACTTGAAACAATAATGATGTAATAAAATTATTCTATTATAATTAAAAATACCTTTTTTGTGCATCCAGTCCTAATTTAAAGTATATTTTCTAATATCACCTTTATTGTCTATTTCACTGAAATTCGTAATCATGCCTCAAATCCACAAATGATTTTGATAAACGTATTCATGCTTGTGTCAAAACAAAAGCTCTTACTTTACCTTGGTAAGAGTAACATCAGTGTACCGGCTATGGGGCTTTTGAAAATGAAATAATAAAAATCATGGAATTGATTAGAATTTAATATTATCTAGAAATGAATTCCCTCTTGTAACAAATAGTGGATAGCAAAACAGTTTAAATGACCAGTTTGTATGATTATTATCAAGATATGTTTCCTTCAATACAAGCAATGAAAATGTATATGCAATATTCTTCATGGAAATGTATGTGTGGAAAAGGTTAATGAATGAAAGAATCTTTAATTAAAAATATTTAGCTCAGCAAAAACAGTTGAAGTAGAATGATTAGTATCAATAAAGATACTTACACATCACCAGTACCATCCTTATGAGAGTCAGCAGTAGTATTTTTTGGAAAGGATGCTGTGGCCTTACCATCAAATACTAATGACAGAAAAAGGTCTCGATCACCTGCAGCAAATATTAAAAGTCATCTAAAGAATGAAAATACATATTTTCTACAATGTATCAAAGATAATATTTTAAAAATGAGCAAAGGAATTTTCAACATATTAGTACACCTTTAGAAAATTTCAATTGTTCTCTGCATAAATGTAATAATTTCATGCACTTGTACATGAATCACTTTTCTTTTTGAAGACCCACCAAGACTAATTATCCAAATCATCCTAGTTATTAGTACAGGTGCAGTAAAGAAAATGTTTAATATTAAATACCTTGGCAATACTGCACTGATGTGCAAAACTATGATATAATGAATGTTCTTGACAGTAATGATAGCAAATATATGCAGAAAGTATTTATTGTCTATAGTAGATAAATCTCTACACTAATTTATAAGTATTTCCTTTCATTATTACCAAGGTAGCAATGGTATTTAAGAAATTAAATTATTTTAATTGATAGAGAATTATTGAATGTTTTTAAATTCATTTTATTATCTGGTTTTCTTAAATTCAAGTGGTGAGTCTTTTAGTAAAGAAATTAAATATGTATTATTTCTTGAGTTAAATAATATTTACAAAGAAGTACTATACAATTTTAGTTTTATTATATATCTACTTCAGCTTAGTTCTCCATACATGTTCTCCAGAAACATTTCTCACTATGGGATTGCAATGCACTGTTAATGCACAAATTGAAATTAATGGGTAATGCGTATGATGCAAACTAATGTATTTAGCTACTAAATATTCATGCACATAAGAAGATGCAAATGCAAAGAATTTCAAATTCTATAATAATTATAAAGTAAATAAAATACATATTATTTTCTATTCTTGAAAGGGTGATGAGTATGATGTATAGTATGTCTAAAAATTAATTTTTGAGAAATACTTTTTATAAAAAATTGCACCATCCATGCAATTGAGAGAAATAAATTTTTCAAACTTAACTCACAAAAGTAATGTAAGTTGCGTGTTCGTGTAATGAGTGTTTTTTGTAGAAAAATTTACTCACAGAAGTATGTTGTCTCATCCAATTTGTCTTTTTTCCCTTGAGTGGGAGCTGTGAAAAAAAATCATTTAATATGACTGTGAGTTAAGAATTTTTGTTTGAAACAAAAAACTTGCATGCTTTGCAAAATAAATTCAGAAATGAAAAGCAAAATGTGAAATAATAAGAAATAATCAATACAAAAACTCCATTATCAACTACTTGTGTGTGTCTGATGTATGTATTTCAATAATACATGTTAGCTAAATAGTATACAGCTAACCACTTGGCGGCAAAGGCAATCAGAACTACCTGGACCATATTTGTTTCAGTGATAAGAAAGGTGAATTAATTTTTTCATTATATAACAAAATAGTTATAGCAAGTTATATATTTATCCTAAAATTGGTTTCTACCTTTCACAAAATAATATAGATCACTTATACTTCAAAGGGCTATGTTATGACCAATTATTATTATTATTTTTATTTTAATTATTTAATTATTTTTGTTGTTGTTGTTGTGAATATTAAATCTAATTTCAGACCATTCACACCTAAAAAAATACATAAGCATTTCTTCTTTTGTGGAAGAAGGAAAATAAATAAAGAGAAATATATGTATCTCTTTGGAAAGAATAAAAATAAAGTTTTATACATTTTAATTATTGTAATAATAATTCAAGAGATAATGACTCAGTGTCAAAAATCCAATTTCATCCTTTACATTTCTACTCTATAGATTTTTAACAAGAAACTGAAAAACAAGAAAACTTTGTACTAGCCTGCAGTTAAGGTACATTGAAAATATTTCAAACTTCAGGACTTTTTCAAAAAAACACAATTCATTGATTAGGTTGTTCAAAAGAGACACAAATGGAGAATCTTAAATGAGAGATTTTTAGCCTGAGTAATATTTCCACAACTTCTTCAGGACACGCCTTATGATCATTGGTCTAAAGATTCCAGTTTTAATAATTTGTCACTATTAAAATCAATAATTTAATACACGAATTAAAACAAATTAAAATTGAATTTTTTAAAAGAAAACATTTCACACTGCAATCAAATATATTATTTCAAATACCTTACATAATACTGTACATGCACTGATGGTTTATACCAATGTATGGAGAAAATGGCACAGAGGCCAAAATGAATAGAAATCTACAAATACATATTAATGAAACTTCTATCTGCCAACATTTTGGTAAATAATTTTTTCCTTAAAATTAAATTAACGTTCCAATAAGAAAAAGTACAAATGCAAATGATTTGCTTCCATAATCCTTCCACAGCAATAAAAATTACATTTATAAAACCAAAGCCATTGTTATAATTAAATATTGATATACAGCTTAAGTAAATATATCTGATTGCAAATAAATAATATTACTCTTTTTAAAACTCAAAAAGCTCTTAAATCAAGGTGACAAAAAAATAAATTTTGTAGAAAGGATTCTCAAACACACTTATCATTATGACAAATATCAAATCATTGTGAATAAAAGTTAATCACTGGGCATTCAGAAATAAAACAGTAATGTAGGGGATACATCATCTGAAACTTCAGAGGAAGTAAAAATATGAAACAGTAGATGTTTGAAAAAATATTTAGAATCTATGAGTATTATGAAATTAAAATTTAACAACTAAAAGAAATATATTTTTCAATTTTTGTACCCACAGATTAATGGCAGAAACACGTTGATAATCAAAGCATTCATTAAATTTTATGTGCTGTTATTGTCCTCTAATCTTGTACATCATAAAGGAAGCACTTTTTAGCTCACTCATTCAATTTTAATTAATTCTGACTTAATTGCATTATGTCCAGATCAACTGAAGAACTATATAAGTTTGCCATACATTCCATTCCTAATGACCAAGGACACTCAAATATACCACCTAGCAAAATGTATACCTGATGAGCTTTGAGCAAGGTGAACCTAATCTAAAGAATCTAGTTAAATCATCTTCATTCTACATACTAAATATTAAAAGTGTATAAACACTTCATCAGATTTTCAATTTTTGTCAGTGTCTTCAAAATTCATTTCAACTCAAGATTTTTTTATTTTTAAAGTTGCAAATAATGTGTTGAACATGGATTCCTTGAACATCTGAACTTATTTCTACAGCAAATCCAGTCAAATACCCAAACAAATACAAAAAATAATACATACATAATTAAACTTTCTGGTTATCGTAGAAATATTGTGGAAATCCATGTGGTTGGGTAATGTAACAATGAAAACATATTTTACACTAAATTCAGATTTTACATTCTTACACACCCTTTTAATTTTAGAAAAAAAAATTTGTGATTCAAAATTTATTAAAAAATCCTATTACCTGTTGCGTCAGTAATCAAACCAATGTAAAACTTAGTCCTTTGTTATTATAACACCTTAAACTCCACTCCACATCCTCCCCCACCTGTACTTTCCTAGTTAGTTTCCAAAATCTCCAGGGCACAAAATAAAACCGGCAAGGGTGGGTAATAAGCAGTTGTGTTGTAATGTTATTTGAATAAGTGTGTATTTTGTTTTATTGCATTAATTCATTTTATCCTTCCCTGTTTTTGCATTAATTCTAATATAAGATCTGAATTTAGTGTAAAATATATTTTTCATTGTTGAAGATAATTTGTATTTTACCCATCCACATCTATATTTGTCAAAACCATCTAATATTTTCAGTAAATTGTAGAATATTTGCAGCTAATTCAGTCCAAACATGTCTGTTACCAACAGAAGTAATATTTATTAAATAAAAAACCTTTCTATAGACCGTTGTACTATAGGGAAGAAAAGTTAAAGACCTAATCAATACAAAATCGAATTTTTGGTCCCAATCCACTTTAAGGTTCTTTTGAGCTATAACATTGCACGAACATCAGGATTAGGGTGTATTAATACTGTTCAAAGATGGTTACGAATATTGCAGGTGGCGAAGAGATTCACAATTTTCTACAGAAAGGACTTTGAAATACAGTGATGCAATAGCTGGTATGAATGGAATGGGAACATGGGAAAGAATGACGGATGGCATAAACCTGATGGATGAATGGCCCAGACCTGGTGAATGTATGGCACAGAAGGAGGAACGGACAGATAGGTGGAAGTGGGCGGAAGGATGTCACAAGAACCGTCAGAAGCTTTAGAGACGAAACTTGATAAATACACCAGGAGTAATATCAAATTGTGCCATTCAGGGACTATTTAAGATAATTTTGGGGAGTACCTTACATGAAGCCTCTGTGACGTTTTAAAAAAGGTTCTGAAAAATAGCTATTTTTTTCTCAAATAGAGGAAAGTTTATTTAAAATTATGTTATAGTTATTTTATTTAATATCTGAAATTCTGAAAATTGCCGTTTGAAACTCTAAACAGCATCGCGGTTTATTTAAAAATAATCTGAAAGAATATCTTCGGACAAACGACGACAACGACGAAGGGACGGACAAACTACGAACCGGACTGGACAAACTGAAACGAACGGACCGGACAAACTTACGAACGGACGGACCAACTACGACGGATCGGTACAAAACTACGAACGGACGGACGAACTTACGAACGGACGGACAACCTACGAACGGACGGACAAACTACGAACGGACGGACAAAACTACGAACGGACGCCAAACAAACGACGGACGGACGGACGACGGACTGGACGGACGGACGGACCGGACGGCGGACGGACGGACGACGGACGACGGACGGACAAACCACGGGACGGACAAATATTTATTCCAACATCCATTTGCAATTTTTGCTTTTTGGTTTTCCGACTAACGAACACCTTTTCAATACGGTTTTCAAAAGTTCAAGAATGTTAATATTTAGGGTTTTATGTTTTCTTCCAACCATTGTTAAACTGGTTGTGAAATTCATAAAAACACACCACCTCACTGCCTAGTGGCTGCACCTAGACTTCCCCCTGACTCTTTCAACACATAATGCGTCAGAACGCAGAGTAACGTCTTTCTGATACCCTCACATTGCCTTGACCAAAGCGGCTCTGACCAAAGAGTGACAATTGTCAACGAGGGGCCAGTAGATGCTTGATTACAAGTCGTGCCCATGCACCTTCCCACGCTCAGAGAGCTGGGAGGGAGGGAATTCCCCTAGGGCCTACGCCTAGAAAGACATGCGACCCCAAGGTCGAATTCTACGCTGACAACTGAAGCTTCTCGCCTTCATTGTGCGGATGCCGACGACTGGAACTCTTCACAGGGACAGAGAAATTGAAATGGACTTGCAGATGCATTCATTCCATGTAGAGTGTCTCGCGTGTACCTGCCAATTGCAATAAATTTGCATATATTCCGTTTTATGAAGTTTTTTCTTTCCCCGCAGGACATGAAAAATCGCTCCGTTTCCGCGTAGAACAGATTCCGTTTTATGCCGAGTAAAATATTAACGGTTTAACATCAACTGAGTTAAACTTAATATTAACTGAGTTTAACATCACGGTCCGAGGAAATTTTCCGGTTAAGGCAGGTTTCAGGTTTGTACAGATTCCGGTTTAGAAAGATTTTCTGTACTAGAAGAAATTATTTTTCGTAAATAGAAACTTCACAATTTGTTTATTCTCCTCTTTCCTATTTCATTGTGCTTTGTCCCATTGACTTCCATAAGTTACTGGAAGACTGGTATATTTGTAATTATTACTCTATTTAATACAGAGAGTAAATAAGGACATTTGATTACATCTGCCATAAGGATCAAAACACTATATAATTAATATTTTATGAGATCCTGGAGTATCAAATCGAAATTTCCTTTTTGGCGAACAAAAGGGCGCCCATTTGGAAATGAAAAGTAAACATTCCCAGCAATCAATTTTTGTCTCAGAGGATAAATAGCATATTTTTTCAAAACCTTATAGGCAAAATTTAACTCATTCAGAGTTTTGTATTTTTAATTTATTAGGAGCTCTTTAATAAGTCTGAGCACTAACTATTAAATTGACATACACACAAATGAGTCATGCTTCATGTTAACTTAAAAGAAAACAGCAACTGTAAATAAACATTTCAAAAAAGTAAAAAAAAAATTAAATAATAGAATCATAAAAAAAGTTCTTGAAGTAGAAATTCAGGTATTTAATAATGGTTCATAACAAAAATATGAAAGAAAAAAATAATTTTAAAACTGGCAAATAAAAGTTGGAATTTCCATAATTAGTTTAAGAAAATGGCAACTTAAATCCATAAAATGAAAGGACCACAGCAGATGGAAAAAATAAAAAAAAATAGTTTTACTAAAAAATTTAGTTAAATTCTACGAATAATTGTTAGTTGTTTATTTATTTGTTTTTCCTTGTGACTTCCAAACTGAACTATCATTCATGTTTTGGTAACTTTAACTTCCATTTCAATTAAAATGTGTTCAGATCCAAATGTTATTCAATGACTTGTTATGTGATAACCGAAACTTTTTTCGGTTTGAGCAATGCAATACAGAAAGTGTTGATTGTAACTATTCTCAAATATTTAACACTATATTTGGAAAACTGCCAAGTTCAACTGAGTCACTATGATTCTTACTGTCAACACTTTTTAGCATTATGGTTGCATTTGAGTCATTCCATATCAAATTGCACAAATTCAAGGAAAATTTGACCTTGATATTCCAGAGTTTTAAACTTCTTTCTAGGAAGAGTATAGGTAAAATATGAAATGCACATTTTTAATTTTCCCAATTTTTTTTCAAGCCAATATTAATTTTCAAAATGTTTGAGAAAATGCTTGCATGGCTAAAGTTAATCATGAGTAAGTGGGATAGAAATTTAAAATTTTGTAACATTAAAGAACAAAAGATACTTCATCATCCGATATATGTAATTGATTGTTGTTGTTTTTTATCGATTTTTTCTCTTTTTTCTACACATAACACACCTTTAAAAATTCTAACTTTCAACTGGACTTTAAAAATTCAAATTCTGTTGTATTCTCCAAAGATTTGTACACAAGTGTTGTAAGTTACAAAATGGAACTATGAGAGGATGCTGAGAAATTACATACAACACACATTTCTACTAGCATCAACCAGAGCGTCATATTGCCAATCAGGAGTAGATAATTACCATCCTTATACTTTCAAAGAGCAATAAATAGAAATATTCTTTCATCTCTTACAATGTGACAGATGTGTACCTATTTATGACCTTTATTTCTGATTAAATTCACATTAAAAAGAATCAAATGGATTCAATTTAGCATTAAAAGGATGAAATATTTTTACAAATAAGAAGAGGATTCAGTTAATTCTTTCACTCTACAGAGAATATCATGTATTGATTACTTCATAAAGATATTAAACTACATAGTTTCTTTGTGCCTTCTACAGGTGTGTGTGTTTCTCAGACACCTCTGTTTTTAAAACTCAGTCAGTATATCTGTGAATCAAGGCTGCGCCGTATTTCAGGGAGGCCTTAGTAATAGCAGTTTATCAAGATGAAGCCAAGAGTAATTTCACCTTAACCCTCAGATTCATGATGTGTTTTTGGGCTTTCCATTTGGGAGCATGGTTCTACAATTCATAAAATAACAAAAGTTTCTCTCCAACTTGGCATTTGAACATTGTGTCATTGAAGTCATCGTGCGCCACCCAAATTGCTTAAGTACTCTCCATGAGGTCACAGAAATTAAGCAACTCGAGACACCATCAATTCTCTGATAGGTGACAGTTTGGGAAAACTGGTTACTTGCAATACCAAGCCCCTCACCGAAGGGGCGCATTGCAAAAAACAGAATCCTCGTAGTATAAGATGCCAGTCAGGTCTATATGCTGTGGTCAATAAACTATTTTTTAAGGTTTTTTTTTTTTTTTTGGCCCAGTTTGAAATTTGGCAGATAGATAAAACATTTGTGTATAAATAAATGAATTTTTTAAAAATTAATTTAAGTACAGATGTAATGAGAAAATTTGTATTTTAAAAATTAAAATGTATTTTAAACAATCAATATTTTACAAATATTATATTTACATCATATGAAAGAACATTTTTCTAGGATTAATTTAAATGTAGTTGTATATTTGTAGGGAAAGATGGATATATAAAAAATGTTTAAACATAAGTTCACCCACACTTCCTCAGAAAAAATAATTAGTAATATTTCTGAAAAGAGTCAGATGAGAGAAAAATAAAAAATACATATCACCTCTTTTTCAACTCTCCACCTCATAAAAGAGTTTAAGGTTGCCAAAAAATAGAAATGTTTTATGAGTGTGCAATTTGAGATAAAATGTCTAATTTGTGTTCAGGTTATATAAATGAATAATTGAAATCTATCCAGAAAAAGAAAAGAAAAAGAAAACGGAAACTTTTGCAACTTTCACTTCTACTTGTCACTGTGAAGAACATCCATTTTTTATGAATTCAAAGATATGATAACAAAATAAGAGAAAAAATACCTATATCTGTTTTCAATAGCATAAAGTCTTAAATTTAATTATTTTAAATGAATCTGATTTTATTATTTTCTACAGGAAATCATAAAAATGTAGCATCTCACTAAATAGCACTTTTGTTTTCACAATAAACCATTCTAAAAAATATATTGGTTGTGTTTTTTTAAAAGAATTATTTATACATTGCAGTTCAACAGAAATATCTGTGTGACCGTTTCTCCAATTTTTTAGGAATAAACGAATTTGCACTCTTGGATAAGAGTTATAATTATGATACAATGTGGAGGTTTGCTAATGAAACAATCACAAATAGCAAGGCCACCCAAGCAAAATATGTTATTCACAACTTATTTTTACTTTGACCAATCTCTCTTAATATTATATTAATTAAAAAAGGCAAAAAAATTTCTTAGCAATAGATTAAAAATAATGATAGAAAATATATAGAAATTACTATGGAGAGAGAGTATGTTGCAAATAAAATGAAAAGGAATAATGAAAAAAGAATAAAGAGGGATAGAAAGAGTGCAGATTGAAAAGAAGGATGAGAGAAAGACATAAAAGAGAAAAGAAAAGGAAGTATAATAAAGGAGTGAAACAAACTTGCTTTCTATTACAAAAGAAAAGCCAACTTCCTATTCCAATGCAAAATTTAATGGTAATAAAATCTTGGAAACATATTTTCTTTACTTTATGATGCTGCTTTGATCATGATGTCAGGCACATTTTTTCTTGAAGTATGACACCCTTTAATAAATTGTAAATATAAATCACCATGTTGTAGTAAATAAGTAGTCGTACTTCATATAAAATTAGTAACGTGTACTAAAATATCTTATAAACTTATTTAAATACCCATCACCATTGGTCAAATTGCATTCATTCTTGAAAAATGTATGTACATAAACAGAACCAATACCTTTCTATTTAGCACCTGTGTAAATATTGAATGTACTCACACTGCTCCATATACTCCGGCGGGGTGCCTGTGCGTTTTGAGAGCCAATGCCATCCAGGACCCAGTGCTTTATTCAGAAAATGTATGAACTCTGCTTCAGGAGTGTCAAAAGTTTGAAGAGGAAAATGATATCGGCAATATGTCCTAAAATAAATTTGAAAAATATATTAACAGAATTAAATATTTATTTTAGAAAATATACATGCGACTTGATTTCTAACAAAGCTTGATAAGCAAATTACATGTTCAAATGTACCACCAATTTACATGAATGATTTACTTACCAATCTGGATGAATTTTCCAATTTTTGTCACTGAAGGGTTCAAGAAGGTTTTTTCCTGGTCAGAAAAGAAAGTTTTAATAGAAATTTTATGCAATATCATCATCATTTTTTTTTCTGTCAAAAATGATTACTAAATTTGAAAATATTTTTAATTTAATTCTTAACTATTTATTATACATTTATATTGTTAGAAAACTTTTGAACATATGTAGTCAATTCAAAACAATTTTTGAAATGGCTTTCCAATTTATTTCTCAGTATTTTTTTAGAATTACAGTATCTTTCTACACGACTGTTAGAATTACATCATGTGATCTGTGCCTTTAATTTGTCACCATTTCTTCTAGTATTTTCTTTGTCACTTAAGTACAAAGTAACTATTCTTAGGCACTGATATTTTTCTATTTCTAATTTCCTTTCACCTTTATACATACTATATTCTACTGATTTAAAAGACTCAAAATTTTTGGTATATAAAATTATAATTTTATAGAACATTAACCAAGAATTGGGCAACAGATAAAATATAACTTAGTTCTCATTTGTTCTCACCTTCAGTTCGATGACGGCTTGTTTCCTCTTTTGCATCGATCCCATACTGACCATACGGTAGAGGAAGTGAAATCACAAGTGTAAATGGAGTATTTTCTATTCCACAAAAGAAATATTTTCTTGTGGCTGTAGAGGCACGTTTCTGTAAAATTCAATATATAAAATTTCACAATAATGATACTTACTATTAAATATTTGCAGAGATAATCAGTTATATTTTTCTTACCATTTTGTCATAATGATACTTTACTCTCAGAGTCCTATTTCCTCTGGTCTGAGTTATAACTGCATCACGAAACTATAATGAAAACAGCCATTAAAGCTTCATTTCTAGTAAAATGGAATGTTACATGGCTTAATAAAATATTTTAATGAAGTTAATGAACACACTTTGATACACTGCTTCATTGATGATTATATAAACAAATAGACATTTGAAACCACAACTTGTTAACACTAAAAAATAAGTCTTCATAATGTTTCAATGATTCAATGAATTCATTCAAATAAAGGTAACCTATAAACAACTGAAAACTTTAATTGGGATAAATTAATAACTTACACTGTCCATCTCTTCACTTTCTTCTCTTGCTTCCAAATCATCATCAAGCAATTCTATTTCTGACATATCAACACTGTTGTAACTTGGTTTTAGTATGCCTTGAAACTGAAATTTAATAGGAAAAATAATGAAAAATATTATGAAGTTATTTTGTTTTCAGGGCTTTTATTAAAATACAAATTATACAAGAGGAAAGTGATTTCATGAAAGAAATAATGATGTCTCAAAATTGGAGACAGAAAAACAAGTAACAGAAGTTATAAAACAACAGCAATCAGAGATTCAAACATTGAAACTTATGTCAATAGCCCATCATAACAAAACCAATACTAACTTAAAACATGCAACATTCGTGTATTTACTCATCTCAAAATAAAATGCAAGTATATTTTTATTCCACCTTTCTATTTTAAAAATTTTGTTTTGAAAATTTTCAATTATGAAGTACTGTTAATATATTTGGTAGATGTAGGTCTTCTTGATCAAATATATTTGGTAGATGTAGGTCTTCTTGATCAAATAAGTTTTCAGCTTTATTTTCTAATGTATCGTCCAACATTGTGGGCCTCTTCAGAGCTTATTTTATTTAGTTGATCTATTTTACTATTTGAATGATCATGAAGTAATAAATAAGCTCTGAAGATGCCCACAATTTTGAACAAATGACAGAAAATAAAACTTCCCTAAGGTCTTTATCTACAAAATACATTAATAGATGTTCATTGGATCTATCAGTAATACCATAAAAAATATTGTGAATATGACTTACTACAGGCCGAAAGTCAGGATGAATAACAATATGGCCGTTATTTGTCACCAAGAAGGCATATGAATTCACTCCAAGCTATGTAAAAAGAATAAAAATACAAGTTATATTCAGACTTTAACATATCATTTGTTATTGATCATAAGCAATATTAACGCACCTTATGTGGCATCATTAATTCTTGAATATCCTTTACTGGAACATCAGTACCAGCTACACCAAGAATATTTGCTATTCTTGTCTGTAAAAGTCCAGAGAAATTTTTTATACTAAATCTACATTTCTAGTAAATTTAGTCCTATTCTACAGAAAGTTAAAGTTCACAGGCAATTGTGGTCAATACTTGATTATTTGTCTATGTCATGAATACTTAAATTTTACTAGAAAGTATGATTCTCTAAAATCATTAAACAGAGTAAATGAGATGAAATTACTGTATGATTATTTGGAAAAATAATAATAATTAGGAACATGATTTGTTAAAGTTTATTAATGCGGAGTAAGATTTAAAATATAATTAAAATTGAAGATCTTTGCACTAGAATTTCATCTACATACACAATACTACTAAGAACAGCATATGAGATAAAGAGCAGGGATTAGCCTATTAAATGAAAGCTACAAATTTGCTACCGACAGATAGATGTTAGAATTCATGCTTTGTAGTCTACCTGTTTCTTAACACTCTCTCTATAAAAATATTACCTTGTTAAGGTTTTTGAAGAAATTGAGTCATCACAATTATAAGGTAGTGATCTTTCTAGACCAAGTCAAATAAATTACAACTAGCAATCTACATTTGGCTGAGATCACTTTAAGAAGCCTAATAAGGTAAGAGGGATCATAGATTGTCAGTGGCACAAAATAAACACAGAAACACCCAAAGATATTGAGGTGCAGTTCTTTCAGAACATTCCAGCATGGAACCTATTATACCCATGCAGAATTAAGTTCTAAGCAACACAACTAATCATGTCTAATCATTTTAGCTTAGTACTTACATATCACATACAAACAAGATTAATTCCAAATAAAAACTAAATATACATTTGTACCAAGAAATTATCAACATGTTTTAACTAATGCAATTGGTTTCTGAAACTGATCTCATTAATTTCTCATTTATATTACGAGAGGCTAGCTTTTTAAATTCCTCACAGTCCTCAAGTTATCTGTGCGATAGTAGAGGAGATATTTACAACACACCACCTTCCAGCTTATTTGAAGAATATTAAAATATTTATCCACAATTCAGTATGACTCTTTCATTTCACATCAAAGGTTTTTTTTGTCGATTCCTGCCTTTCTTGCCACAATTCAACCAATTGCCTTAATTTCTATTCTAAATGTAATATTACTTGTTTGGTGAAGTACACTACAAAAATATCATTACAGTAAGAAAAGATACAATATTTTGGCATCTATTTCATTCACTTCTCATTGCTGCTAAATTAAACAGGTCACTAACAAGTTCATTTCTAAAGTCTAATCCATAAGAATATCTCATCTTTCTACAGTACGCACAAAATAACCATTTAAGACTTGCTACAAAGAATAATTGATTATTTTTTATTTTTCTACCTCTCTGATTTTTTCTACCCATATCGCCTCATTTATGAGGGTCCATTCGGTGAGGTTCTGCAGAGAAAATAAATATGACAACAAAAATAATGCTTAAAATTATATTAAACTCACAATAAGTATTAGCATAGCAAAACTTGTAATCCATGGTAGAATAGCCAGCTTCATGTGTTCTTTTATTAATGAAAACCTTGGCAACCCTGAACTGATATTTTAGAAACACCTACATATCTTATAATTCAATTTAGAAAACATCCTACTACTTTTATTAAAAACTGCCTTATATTACCACTTACAGCATTTTCTCTTCTGTCATACACAGGCACTGAGACAGATGTCATTAGTTGGTAATTACTTAGAGTGATATCTTCGTCAATATTAGCCATCTATAAGGTAAAAAATTGCAATTAAATGACAATAAACAAAGTGAAAGAAAATAGTGATTCAACACAGCACTTACTTTCTCATATAATTACTAATGATTAACTAATTATTACTAATGTAAAAACCAATTATCCCTAACATAATAATACTCGTGTATTAATATGTTAGTAATAATTTAATCTTTTCTAGTTTTTTTTCTGCTGAAAACCGGTTACTCTTTTACATCCCTAAGGGATGCACATTTGACCATACATTTGACACAAACACACTTGCGGGATCCTCCATTCTGGAGGCAGCAGAATGTGAGGCCCTCCATGACAACAAATATGTAGGAGACAAGAGGCAATCAATCATGCTCAAGACAGGACTCAAATCCATGATCCGTCGAACCCATCGAAGTGCAGAATCGATGCACACACTTAGCCACATCAGCCATCCAGGTCTTCAGAAATAATTTAATAATACTTTCGTATTATTATTAATTCAAAACTTCATAGAGTTCAACAAAAATGAGACCTGCACCATTTTTTTAGTGTTCTCTCTGGGATGAAAATTTAAAGGAATTAGGAGATACAACTTTCAGAAATCATGGGAGTTCCACTTTTGTTGAAGCCATTCTTTTAAGCATACCTTTTTCTAGCATCCCCAAAACAAACATTGCAGACAGATCAGAGACTTTTAATTTTGGAGAACATTCACTGAACTGTTTAGGCGCTACTGTTGACCACAGACAGATAAACAGAGACAGAGACAGAGAAAAACACACACACACACACACACACAGCAACCTGTGTGGTTGCAGAGTTTTTTTGTAGAATGGTGCCACGGGACCTCCGCCTGTCGTAAAAGGCGACTAAAAGGAGCAGCTGTCCGCTGCCCTTTCCCCAAATATCCCTACTTTCCCAAAGAGAGAGATTTAACCATGGTGGTAGATGACATTTTCAAAGTATATCATTAAATTCTTTAAATATCTGGAGCAGTGCTTATATTATATTTAAATAGGGTATGTGTTGACTTAAATGCAGCCTGCTATCGGTTGTGTTTCCAATATGGGAGAGTTAACGTCCAATCGGCAGTAACGTTCCACTGTAGTGACGGTTTAAGCCTCTCGATTGTGAAGACACCGTTAACAGCGTATGAACTGTCATAGGACACATATAATAAAGCATAGGCCACCGAGAGCGCCACTGAAAATGCTAACTTTTTTGTGAGTCCCCTGGCCAATGCCAGAAGAACATGTTTTTCCAGCATCTGACTTCCTGGCTGCGCTCTGAAATTAATATATTTGGAATTGATAGTTGTATACTCCTCTAAGAATGAAAATATTTGCCAATATGTATTTTTGTCACATTATGACGTAAAAGAATTCACTAAAAGGAAATTTTAGGTTTACCAAAAATACTGTATCAGATAATTTATAAGATATGTTTGAAAAGCGAACTTCCAAGTTAAGCAGAAGAAATAGAGCAGTGGCTTGCCGACTCTCTGGTCGATACTCTGTGACGCCACAATATAACGTGCTCCTCTGCTTCCGAACGGAGCGGCCGAGCATTAGAGGCAGTGCCCGATGGCGGCGCACGGGCGTAGTGTTTCATGAAGATGACGGAAGTGGGGAAAAGTTCGCTCGATAATGTACGTTTTTAAATTGTATTATTATTAAGATTTACGGTTGCAATAAAAATATGAACAATTATACAATATAGAACCTGGATTATTTCATTAACACAGCAATATCTTCGACTTTATCGTAAGACCAGTTAAATTCCATTTTCTAATCTTGCTATACACATGATTAGAGATAGTACGTTTTAATCAATCTAATACGTATTTTATACAGATGTTATGTACTTAGAGAAGTGATTTCCTAAGGATGGGATGAATTTGACAGCTAGTGCTGGCTAACTACATACTGATGATCTGTGTCTTGATACTTAAATAGATCTCTCCTTCGCTTCATTCTGTTTCGTTTGGCCGTTGGCTGAACGTGTAGAAGCCACTGACGCTTCCGTGCTGTGATGTCCCCTCGTCCGAGCGAAATATATAGTGCGCCACGAAGAATAATTGAAAATTAGGAAGTGCAGAGTTTTGTCACTAATGTTTAAATAATTTCGTTTTTTTTATAAAAAATATATTGATATTTTGTTTTATGGTGATAAGTATTATTGTTTGGTTTCAAATATAGTTGTCTTGAATGTGGATACGGTAGGTCGCCACGGTGCAGCATGTTCCCCGGCCTCTGTGTTGCTGTGGCGATTCTGGGCGACCTGTGTTTCAGCTTGTTCTGAGATATGTTTCGTGCTTTTTTGTGGCAGTTGTAGGTCACGATTGTTATGGCATGAGACCCGGAAGTGGGCGCGAATAGTGGCATTGCTCCGTGTTCACGCTCAGGCGACAAGAAGACATTGATATTTCCGTTTGCTAGGATAAATGAAGAAATGCATGCGTGAAGGAAGATTGAAGGGCAGGATCTTTGTTCGTTGCTCACATGCAGACTGCTTGAAATCTGAGCAGATAATACAGTTTTAAAGGTAAAGCTTTTATATATTATAATTTAACATTAATGACTTATTGTGCATTGATAAAGTGTAACTAGGAATTTATGTGTATTTAGGTATTATGTAAACAGAACATAATATGAATTTTGAGACTCCTAGGAAGATTAAGGAATCGAAGAGCGTGTGTATTAGACAAGTGACGATTTCGGCAAAGGGTATCCATGCAAGATAAAATTATTTATCGGGATGTGTGAAATGGGTTAGTTTGTGTAATTTTATTTAATTACTTGACCAGTATTATTCAGTTGAGTTCCTGTTTGTAAATTGATGATCATTCTTTGCAGGTCAACATTGTGATCAATTAGAGTTCTTTATTCCGTGGGAAGTGAGAAAAATGTAGGATGTGGGATTTTCTGTGTAGCAAATAACAACTTTGAGGAAAATTATTATTGGAGATGGGATTTTCATGGGAGATTAGACGGGACAATCGGAATTGGGCCTTGTATAGAAAGAGCGGTTTATTAGTGCTCATTAGAAGTAGAGTATTTAACGGGCAGTATAAAACTTGAAAGATGGTAGATAGTTAATTTTTTTGTTTTCTTAAATGCCGACTTGGTTTTTTTTTCGGAAGGTAATGCAGACTATAATGTGTTGTAACTTTATTAAGTCATTCACATAATTGATTATTTTGAATTATTGAATCTAACGTTTTTTTGTTAGGTTATGGCTACTAAGACTTGCAATGACTCAGAGTAAGTTTCAGTCTGATGTGATGGTATAGTAACTGAGTAAGGACAGCGTTTATATAGTTTTACTATGCAGGAGTAATGAAGGGGTTTGTGGATGAATTTGTCAGAACTATGTTTCCCATCTGCATAAATAGTAGTAAGAGTACATTGGAACAATGATATGGGGAGTATGTTTGAGGAATGATTGGTAGAATATCCCTATCTTCCAAATAAACTTTGATTGAACCGTCTGTTTATTGGTGCAGATAATGGCTTCTTATGACAGTGCTCATGTAAGTATACTATGATATATCAATTGCGCTGTTATCTCTGTAAATACTAATATTTATTATAGCTAATATTCTCATTTCTGTAAAATACAAATGCAAAAAACAACTAAAGATGATGTTGACTTCTTTTCCAAGAAAGGATTAATTAAGGAATTAATTTGATTTTCCTATGCTTACAGTTGGAGAGATTTACCTGACAAGAAAGTGTGACAAAACTGCAACTTGAAATAAACTTTCCTGGAATAACACAAGTAATTTCCTTTAGGGCTGATGCACTTCACGCAGGAACTGTTTTCTTTATGCTTCATTCAACAAAAGCCAGAGACAGTTGTTATGTATTTTCTCTTATATGCTTTGCCCCACTTATAAATAATATTAACTAACCACAGTTTAGGGTCAAGCAAATTTAATTATAAATATGTTACTTGATTGTTCCTATTTTGTATTTATGAATGTTCTCACTAATTGATATGTGTCTTAGGAGTCATGTATTTCATATTGAGGTTTAAAAGCCTTCTAAATAAGAAGCATGAACACGGTTGAGAATATTCAGGAATTACAGTTTTTTGTGAAGTAGAATATTTTTCAATGCAGTATGATATATTTGTTAGGTTACCTGTGTGACAATTATTATTAATGCTCTGATCTACTGTGTGCGACACTACACTTTCTACACTGCCACTACAACCAATCAGAAATGGTGTGGAATGATTGCAAGAGGTATTACAAATACTCATGTTGAACTCCAATTTGATCGCTCATGTACACAGTTTGGCAGGAATCCCTTCATCATAGTTACTAGTGGAGAAGTTAAGTGGAATGTATCATATTATATTTTACAGTTTGTTTACTATTTCTTAGATAATTCATTGAATATGTGTTATTGTTTGTTAAATGAGAGAAGTATATCCTGTTCAGATGGAAAACTATGTGAAATCATACAAGAAACATTGTGAAGACTGGAATCGAGAAGTAATATGGGACAGCAAAATGTGGACCCATTATCATCAATTTAAGGAGAAAATTCAAGTGATGAATGAAGAATGAAGATAATGAGAGCTGACTTAGTGAACCTCTTTGCTTCCCATTACCAGGACATCATCAGGAGAGGGGTTGTTAATATGAAGAGACTGTAAGTATATGTTTGAAATTAGTCTGAATGTTGTATAGTAATAAGATACATTTGATTGTCTTTCATATTCACATGCTATTTTCCTTTGTACTTTTACAGGAAAAATATATGATTCTGCACTGTATTTATGGTAAATTAAACAAAGAAGAATCCCTATTGTTTAATATTTTCATTATATTTTATATTAATTGAAATTTGTATAATTTTGTCTTTTATTACTTTTCATCTGTATCTCATAGATACCACATTTGGTTGTCTGAGGATGAAGCAGTTGGCTCTGGATCATCTTTCCATGACTGTACGCTTGAACTGGATTAAAATATGCTTGATTTTCCTAGGGACGTATATTCTTGAACG